ATGTATATTCTAATAGTGCATAAATAGTGAAAAATCCACATTTAGGGCCGGTTGCTCAAAGCCTGATTGACACTAATCATGGGTTAAACATCGTTATCGACGTTGCCGACACCGTGTTATCCATGCATATAAACGAAAACGTCGATAACGATGTTAACCGATGATTAGTGTTAACCAGACATTGAGTTACCGGCCCTAAGTCGATAACGATGTTTAACCGGAGATTAGTGTCAACCAGGCTTTGAGCATCCGGCCCTTAGAATAGTTACTAGAGCGAAGATTTTGGAAGCATACAAAATAATTTTAGTATGTATAGTGTACATTGCACACAAAAGTCGATGCATCGAAAAAAAATACATCGATATATCGATGTATATCGGAAGGTCCCAAACATTGGTACATCGATATTTCCGATGAATCGATGTTTTTTTTGCAAAACTATCATGTGCCTTCTATCATGGTCTTATGAAAAAATAGTATTTTATAATTTAGCAGTTCAATTTTATTTGATAAAATTAGAGATCAAATGTCTATAAAAAAAATTAATTTTGATAAAGATAAAAAAAAATATGTCGTAAGAATGTCTTCTTCGTTTCGTGACTGAGCTTGTTGGGGTTTGTAAAATGGAGTCAATGCAAAACTTATTTGCATGTTCAAGTCCATACCTGCACATCGAGGGCTTATATTCTATCCTATCTGCAATTTTCACAAAAACTTTTTTGTGATGTTAAAACCCATCTGGGACTTACCTGTCAAAACTGATGTTAATTCTGACTTTGCAGTTCAATAGTAAATCCTTCTACCAAGCGTTATACAAGGTCAGCATTAATATCAGATCGTTCCCCAAGGAGCTATTCGTGATACGTGGGCAGCCACGTGGAATATGCTCTGGGGTTTCCTCCATCAGCCAACAAAACCTGCAGCGCGTCTCTACAGAAAGCCCCATTTTATTAAAATGGTACCTTAAATTCCAGTGTCCTGTCAGTTAGCTAGTAAGCGTCCTAAGGCTCTCCCGGCTAAGTATAAGGAGTCTTTCGGAGTTCCTCCTGGAAGGAGTTATGTATCTCTTTGATTGTCTTATTCTCTTTTACTTCCGCCAGTGGGCAGCAGTCTGAGATTCTTCTCGGCTCGGGGCCATGCAGGCCAATTTTTTCTCCACGCTTTTCGAGATAGTCAGCCCTTTCGTTGCCTTCAAACCCTTCATGTCCCGGAAGCCACCACAGAGCTAATGTGGGCGCCCAGGTGCTTCGAAGGATTTTTGCAGCCGTCCACACAGCTTTGATGTCGTTTTAAAAGAGTCTAAGACCTTTAACTTTGCCTGACTATCCTACGTAATATTTATTCTGGTCCCATTTTTTCTTTTACGAAGACATTAGAGAAGATAGACTTCGATTGCGAAGACTTCCGCCTGGAATATGGTTGGGAATTTTCAGAGTATACAAAGGAGGAATGACACCAAGGACATGGGTTGGACAGATGTGCACAGCTCCTGTGATGGTTACGCAGACCAGTCGGTACAACTTGCTCACGATGGCAGCCGCGTTTACTTCCTTAGCTTTTGGCCGCCAGGCCAGCACCGCATATCGATGGCTGGGTGGCATATCGACCTATCTCGGCAGCCAGTTCGAAAACACCCTATCTCAGAAAATTTTTCAACAACGCTCTATCTCAGAAAAAGAAAGCCCTAATTCAGTTTTTCATCGAAAAACGCCCTATCTCAGAATTTGATTGAAGAACGCTCTATCTTAGCTGAAGCTCCAAAAATGCCCCACCTCAGCTTATTTTCAATGTATTTTCGGTCGAGATAGGGTGTTGATCTTCCACTCAGCCATCGATCCAGGTTTCACGATCGTACTGAATGACCAATACGTTAGTTTGGGTAATATTCCCTAAGTCCGTTTGTCCGCAGTTACACCTAGATACTTCGCATATTCCACTAACTCCATTTCTGTTCTTGCCAAGGTGGGATTACTCAAGTTGACCTTCTTTCTTTTGGTAAATGGGACAATATAGTGTACTTCAGTGGGTTTATTAACAAGCCCTTTTTAGAACCCCAGTCCTCAGTTCATATAAATACATACACTGACAATCAGTAGTGAGTGAATTCTGTTTTTTTGTTTAATATTTGCCATATTTTCCAAGTTAAAATTTTTGGTTTTTTTTTTATAAAAATATATAGAGAACGTTGAAAAATTCAACAAATTTTCATCTAGATTTTTAACAAAAATGTGATTTTTTTGTTTTAAAGATAGATAGGCTATGTAATTCGAGTGAAACAAAAGTGCAAGTTTTAAGTGGTTAAAAAATCGGGCTGATTTTTAACGAATTTCTTTTCCGACAGATTTTGCGGTTTTCGGCATATAACAAGTGCAATTTACATATAAAGTATAGCGTTAATTTTTTTAATTTTGTTTGCAAACGATCATGTGCATTTTATTCTTCAAGAAATTCCCTTTCATATAGTGAAAAGTGCAAAAAGCCGTCAGCAATAAAAAATAATTAAAAATCAACGCTATTTTTTGCCGCTTGAAACTTGCGCTTGTTTTACTAGAATTAAAAAACCGATCTATCTGCGTACTCAGATTAAAAAGTTCAAAATTAAGACGAATTCGTTGAATTTTTCTAAGTTCTGTATAAAGTTTGACTTATGTGGTTTTGATTAAAGCTTGGACCACTAACCAATAACAAAAAAATTTTAATTTGCAAAACGTTGCAAATATTTAAGAAAAAACACAATGCACCCACTTTTGATAGTCATTGTATGTTATTTATTACAACTTTGTAGTTCAGTTCTATTTAATTTAAGGGCGAGTTCCAAGTTGCATGTTGCTTTGTATTTGTACCGTGTATCTAGTTCCCGAATGCAACATAGTACTTATTATATGCAATAGGGGTATTCTCAAAGTCTTGGACGTTGCACGGATTGCGCGAAATGAAAAATACTCTTCCAAATTCGGAGGAGTACGAGTAGGGTTCGAACGATACTATCGATATTGAGTAAGCATCGATACTGCGGGTACTGAGTACTTTAATACTCGATACCTTATTTGGTGATTTTACTCGATACTTTAAAAAGTACTCGTAGTATCGAAAACTTATTAAAAAACACAATTTCACAATCACTTAAAATGAACTGAAATTTCGTGTAGTCTGTTGCATAACATAAACAAAATAAGTTAAAGTTTAATGGCCTTATTCATAAAAAATTAAGTAGGTTTAAAGAGCTTAATAAAATTACATTTTCTTACATTTTCCAGTTTATATACCTTTTTTATTTTTTATGAATAAGGCCGTAAAACTTTACGCAAAGTTCACGAAAATTTAGAATTTTTAGAAACCTTTTGGGTTTGCTGTTTTGTAACCTATTCAACTTTACGTGTAGCCTACTACCGTTGACTTTTAATTCAAACTTGCACATTATTATATTAAAATTTAATAGGCTACAAAAATGCATACCCAAAAAATGTACAAAAATTCTTAATAAAATTTGAAATTCGTGAAAGTATATATATATATATGTATGTATGTATGTATATACATTTAACGTTAAAGTTACTTCTAACGTGAAAGTAGGTTCTACAATGAAATAAAAATCAAATATTTTAAAATTTCTATTGTTTTAATTTCAGGAAATAACTAGATACACGATTGAAGAATAAAATAATTCTAGTATCCCAAGCAACGTATTTCAATGAGTCCGATACTGAGTAGTATCGATACTTTTTCCCTGATATTTTTAAAGTATCGATACCATGAGTTCGATGCCAGAATGAGTACTCAGTATCGATACCAAAGTCTGAAATTTCGAACCCTAGTCCTAGCTACCCCAGGCTCGCACATTATTATACTAAAAAAGAATGGGCTAAAAAACTGCATACTTGACTTTTTTCAAAAGAGTGTAATTAAAAAGTTTAATATTTTAATGAATATTTGCAGAATTTTCTTTAATTTTGCACAAGGTTTGGATACTCAGTTTATCTTTAAAGAGTGTAATTGAAATGTTTAATATTTTGATGAAAATTTGCAAAATTTTCGTTAATTTTGCACAAGGTTTGGAACTCGGAAATTTGGGGTCTTGGTCGTAGAATTAACCAAATCTTTATAAAAAATTTGCGAATAAAATAATTAAAAAATAGTTGCTATACCTAAACTTTATTGATTGACTGTATGTATATATATATGTATGGTCTATCTCCTTTAGATTTTCTTGTTTCTTTTATGTTTACGATTTCAAATTTGTTATGCGCTGTTTCCTCTTTCCCAAGCGAATCATAGTAATCTCACCAACAAATTATTCGTAGTATGTACCATGCTTAAAATACCTCTAAAACTCACTTTTCATCACTAATATCATCAAAATTTTCTTCTGGTAAAGTTAGCTTTGCCAAATGTATTATCACATCTTTCTCTCAAAAGCATTACATCATTGATGGGCATAGTGTAATATGTTGAATGCAAGTTACATATATCTAAACTGAAAGCAGCAGTGTTGCACGCTTTTGCATGGATATATATATGAGTATGTATATACATAGATATGTACGTATATACTTGTATGTGAATGTCGGAATCTACCGCGATTCAAGTTAGAGAAGCAAAGAAGTACCATGCTGTAAGTACGCTACGTCATCTTCAGATGACCGAACCTCCAATCGAGCTAAGCACCTGGCACCACTTTTCCGACCGCAAGCTTACTTACATACATATATCAAGTATGTAAACATTTACATATATACCAATATAGGTTTGTAGGAAACATTTTCCGGCTGCATCTGCATCAGCAGCAAGTTGTAACGCAGGCATTGGCGCCCACTGTTTTCTCCCCTCTTCCTAATGCCACCCTATAAAAGATTTGGCTAATATTCGAAGATTTTTCAGTGTAGTATCAAGTCGCAGACGCGTGTGTTGCAATAGTTTTGCTGCGGACAAGTCCTGTTTGCCCTTTATTTCGTAAAACACTTTATTTGAGACAATAGCAATCTTTTCCCGCTTCTGTAAATATGAAAGTAAGTAAACTATAGTCTAAGTTGAAGCTAAGTACTCGTACTTCATATATATATTTTTTTTAATTTACACTTGCGACTACACGGTGGTCGATATATTTTTGCATATATGGACTGTACAGACATTCATACATACGTAAATCCATACATGTGTACATACATATGTAGATAATGTAAAAAATTTTACTCGCAAATATCTATTGTTTGGTTTTGTCACATTTTAGATTCTTATTTGCTTAGTCCTTATTGGAGCTGTCGGAGTATCATCTAAACCTAAACCTAGCGGTGGTTGGTCATCCGGAGGAAGCGGTGGGGGATGGTCATCTGCAGGAGGAGGTGGTGGAGATGTCCAGATCTTAAAAGTGATCACCGAAGAAGGTGGTGGCGGTGGAGGGGGCTGGTCTTCAAGCGGAAGTGATTGGTCATCGAGTGGTGGAGGTGGTGGAGGTGGTGGTTGGTCTTCGAGTGGAGGAGGGGGCGATAGTAATATTAAGATAGTAAAAATTATAAGTTTAGGAAATGGAGGAGGAGGTGGAGGTGGAGGTGGTTGGTCAGCAAGTGGTGGAGGAGGTGGTGGTGGTTGGTCATCAAGTGGTGGAGGAGGTTGGTCATCAAGTGGTGGAGGAAGTGGTGGTCAATCTACAAAAATTATAAAAATCATAAAACTTAGTGGAAGCAGCAGTGGAGGAGGAAGTGGAGGATGGTCATCATCAGGTGGTTGGGACTAACAGGGTACTCAAAATATTTGCACTTTTGCACAAGTGAATATTTGTAAATATAAATAAAAACTTACTAAAAACAGTCTTTAAATAAATTTGCATCTAAAATTTGCTTCCACTGTTTCAATTCATTTTGGATGTGTACATACATATGTATATGTATATGTGTATATGGCCAATTCTACAGGAAATTAAACCAGCCCGATTTTTTCTTTCTTTAAAATATTAAACATATTAGTGATTATTGGTATTAACTATATCTGTCAGCTGCTTCTGGCACTAATTCTTATCACGTCCAAGCATTTTGTGTTTTATATTTTGCTCCTTTTGTCGAAGGATTTTTCACGAACCTAAAAACAGTTTTAGACACTTCAACAAGGAAAAGTACAAAAATATAAGCTTTCCTTGATTTTTTTTGGCCGATTAAGTTCTGAACGATAGAAAATAAATTAGTTTAACAGGATACGTTCCAAGTAAGTGAAAAAGTTGTTTATAACTCCTATTAAGTCGTAATGAAATGTACCGCAAATGTTAAGTGTAACGTAGACAGTGAAAAACTAAAAAAGTTGTTTTTTGGATAATTAAGTACCAGAGCTGTAAAATGATTGAATCAACATAGTCTGCATTCACTCGGCATTCCTTTCAAAATGTTGATTGTTGGTTTGTATAAATAAAAACTTCATTCCTGAGTGGCTTAAAATATTTGAAAACAAACAAACTGTGTTTTGTTATTGAATGCTAGATTGCCATTCAGTATAGAATGTGAATGTTCAGCAGCATTCGCACTCACACATGATTGTATATTTAGAATGAATGCACACTTTTTTTTACCATTCAGTACCAATAATTTGTTCCCAGGGTTGATATATTTTATACTTTAAAGTTTGAACATATCTGGAATTGAAACAAAAACAAATATTTTATTTCAAAGTATATGTACCTATGTATTGAAGTTTTCTGCCACTAACCCAAAGCCAATGACTCGTGCAATATTATTTATTCCAAAGCAACTTATCGCAACCGTAGAGCAAAACAGACACATCTTGATATGTATACATATACATCATCGATTGTAGACATTTTTTCGCAGAAGAATATACAAAATTGATTTATCACAATTATTTTTGTACTAAATATTTTTTTCACAGTATACAGTGATCCAGGTAGCCAAAACAAAAAATGTAAACATGCTTATTTGACATTTTGTTTGAATGTATTGGTTGATATTTTTTCACAGTTGTCGTTTTCGTTAACCCAAATGAAATCCAATTTAAATATTTTCAAGTCACATAAAATAAAATAACGAGAAACACGAAATTCCAAGCAAATGAAGCGTGAAGCGTCAGCAATTATGACCGGATGCAGTTCCTACATAAGTCAAACCGTGTTCTGAACACAACTTGGAGTGAATAATGGTGGGCTGACTTTGTAAAATGGTCCCATCGATTAGGCGGTAAAAGAAGTATTACTTAGCTTATGGTACAACTCTCCAATTTTCAAATGCACGTAATTTGTGTGTATTTGTTCAGCCGATTATTCACATTTGAAAGAGGATAATGCATGAATTAATGCAAGTAAAGACGGTTTATGCAGATAAGCGAGCGCGTTTGTTAACCGTATAAAATGTATGTACGTATATACACATATATTCAGAATGACGAGATGAACTAGTTCAGCCCTCTCTGTTTGTAAACACGCTAACTCGAACAAAATTTAGTTATTTTAACGAAAGTCGGTGTCGAAGTTGCCTTTGGTATAATTTAGGTTAGTGTTAAATTTTGTCGAAATCTGCCAATAACCACGCCCACCTCCCACGTAGTAATTAACAATATTTTTGTTTTATTATAATTTGTTTTACGAATTTTGCTGTTCAAATTTACATTTCAAATATATCAACAAACATTTGTAGGTACTTTTGCACCAGTTGTTGCCTATGGGTTAATGACAAAAAAATCCTATATATTCACAACATTTCATGTATTAGTTTTCAAATAAGCATATTGTCAATGGCTGGTTTGCTGTATACTGTGATTGTTTTCAGTTTTCAAATATGAAAACTTTCAAAACAAAATTTCAGAAGTGTTCCTGTTTTTTTTTAAGGGGTTGAGGAGTTCCATTACTTTGAGCAACTTTTTTAATTAACTATTAATTTAAATGTTTCCTAAACATATTTACAACGCAGTTCTGCAAGAGGGTACCATAACTTTTTTTCAAATAACGTATATTTGGAACAACCAAAATTAATCGATATGGATACATACATTTATGTTCGTATGTACTACTTATGTATGTATATATACATAAAAATGCTCAGAAAAAAAGAGAAGATGATTAGTCCATGTCCGTTTATTTGCGTACACGAAAACTCTAGCAAAAGTTGAGATATCTCAACCAAATTCTGTACGAGGGTTTTTTTTATCTAAACCTGGTCCCTCTCATAAAATGGTAATTTCGAAAAATGCCAAAACTACAATATTTCCTTAATTACAGGAACCAAATTGCTAAAAAACTGCCATGTTTATTATTATAGTTTTGGAAAATGGACATGGGATATATTGCTAGCTTTAAACATCAATTTGCTCAAAACATACGTTTAGAACAGTTAGCAAGCTTCTACCACATGTGTGGTAGATCAACCACGTAATTTTTTTTAAATTTGGGTGTCTACCACATCTACCACACAAGGCTTAAATTCTACCACATTTTTAGACAGAACATTTGTTTACAATTTTCACATAACTCTAGAATTTCAACTCAATTGTAATTCGAAATATAAAAATTAATCAATAGATTTTTAAAAAGGTACATCATAAATTTTGCTTTAAATATATCTGTGCCTTAACTTTCTAATATTTCAAAAATACGCCTATTTATATTTGCTAAAGTATTATGCAATGGGAAAATAATTTGGTCGATTTTTTTGCATACAAATAAAATATTCTTTTCTTCATGATTATATTCTCTAACTAGAAAACTAATGTTATACTTGTTTTTGCACCAATTGCGTGGAATCTGTACGATCCACTAGCAATTATATTTCCCGATTTAATTTTTGAGTTGTGCTTCTTTTGACGACGGTGTGCGATATGTATACCCAATAAAATATGAATTGGAAAATCTACCACATCTTATTCAAATCTACCACATTTTTTTCGATTCTACCACACTAAAATAAAAAGGGGTTTGCACACAGATTTGTTAAATCTTTTTTTGAGAAAAGTTGATAATTTGCAACTTATTGTAAATGGTAGAAACCACCACAAACCCACAAATCAGGTTTTAGAATCTTTATTAAATGCTTGACCCAATAGCGAAGAAAAAAGTACGAAGAAACTTGTATTAAGAATTTTTTAAATAAATAATAAAATGTATATATCTAAAGTTAGAAGTAGAAGCGCTTAAATTTGTTTACTTATTTTAACGTAGATATATAGGTATGTACATATGTAATAATTTCTGCACATACCTTTTATTGGTACATTGGTAATACTTATTTAGAAAGCTGACAATTTTCGAAACAGAGATGTAAAAATCGTTAATAATTGACATTTTTCATAATGACATTCTTGGCAGAACAATATTTCTCTAATTAATATTTTCATTTATTATAAATATTTGTACAAATTTAAGTGAAACAAATTAATGATAACGCTCAATAAACTATTTTTCGTGTTGCAATTTTGAAATCTGTTCAATAAAATTCAACCTTGCGTATTTTTCAGTGGGTTTTGTGTATTTAGAATATTTATATCGATTGATTGGTACTGAATGAATGTGTGCACACATAGCAAAAGCTGCATTCATCTGAATGCTTATTCAGTGTTAAAAGTTAATGTTTCGTCATTCAGTTTTTTCAATCTTTCTTTGAATATGTTAATGTGTGCAATCGTATCTACTTTGAGTGAATGTAGAATTGGAAAATTATAAGCCACATTCCCCAACAAGGAAAAATTCAATGAAAACATAATAACATAAAATTGATGATTTTTAATTTCATATGATTTCACAGTTTTACAGCTCTGTTAAGTACCCTTTCCAAAAGTATATATAATATGTTTTCTTAGTATTGTCGATATCATATTTCGAATTTTCTGGATCATGGGAGTGACCTACAGTTTTACGCCGACTCCGAACGGCGATTGTATTTTTATGAGAAGCTCTTTTTCATGGCAGAAATACACTCGGTTGCCGAGGAGCGACCGCGCGACAAGATTGCGATTACAGTAATCCTTCATCGAACGAACTTAGATTACGATTACAGTAATCGTAATTTTAACTTTTTTTAAATTACGATTACTGTAATTGTAATCCAAGTTCGTTCGTTACGATTACAGTAATTGTAATTTAAAAAAAGTTAAAATTACGATTACAGTAATCGTAATCTTAGTGCCTTCTATGAACGATGACCACAATCCTAATTTAAACATTTTTGAAATTGCGATTAAAGTAATCGTAATCCTAGACGCAATCGATTACACATGTAATTCTTATCGCCCAGCTCTGCTTTAGACGAGCTTGTGCATATTTTAAGTTATTAAACATAAGTGGTTTTTGTAGTAAAGTTAAATGAATATTATTTGCGACGATAATACGAAGGTTTTTCAGTCATAAATTTTAGTGTAGGATGATTTTTGACCTAGTTAGAACTTTTAAGGATAATCGAGTTTTATTTTTTAATCCTGCAATAGAAGATCCCAATTTTAGCTCAAACAGTTGTTTATGCTGACAGAATAAGAATGCGAAGAAAAAATGGATGAACAAAGCCTTTTGGTTAAACCTTGTCCAAGCGAACCGTTCGTGTAACGTGGCCAGTGTTTTGTGTAACGTAGCCAGTGCCCAAATTTTATGAGAAAATTTACAACAATTGGGTAAGCAGATGACCAACTGCATTCATTGTAGATGACATACTGAAAAGCTAGCAATATTCGCTCACCCGTTTCGCAGAAATTTCAAACCCGTCATTGAACTTCCAAATAGTGTAACGTAGCCAGTCCACATTCGAACGTCTATAACTTTGAAACCCAAGGATTTATTAAAACCTTTCTTTTACATATACATACATAGATAGAGAAAAAATGTGTACGAATGTAACGTATCCAGTCA